TTTCCCATGGCCATATCTAGTCTATAAATGTGAGTAACTACAGAGCTTTGAAAAGATGTAAGTACTCCTTCACTAACTTATTTCTCAAAATCTTGGTGATGGGAGGGTCTCCTGAGCCTTTTTAGGGATGTGGTTGAGGGGATGGATATGCGTGTTGCACATGATAAATACACACCAACATTCCTATCTTCCTAAGCCTTCAGAGTCCTTCCTCCCTGTCAGATCACAGAAATGAAGGCATCTTACTCTCACTAAAGAGAAGTCACTACTGAGTCCAAGAGTCAGTTGACCATCTAATAAGATGCCAGAGCCTCTTCCAGCTGCATAATTTAAAATACAAGATCTGGAATCCCTAGCAAATGCACATATATAAATTAATTTGTTCTGATATATTTTGTTCTCCATGTTCTAAGTCCCTTAGAATCCACTCCCACACAGATTCCCAAAGTTTCTGCCAACATATATATTAGACAAGTCTTATAACTCATTTAAAGTATAAGCCATTTCCTCCTGGGTCATACTATGTGTCTGAGTCCCTGAAACATGCTGAGATTTGACCCAAGTTGTGAGTCTAGTAACAACAAGAGGTGATGATAGTGCATCTTGAGGAGAATAAGCATCCTTGTCAAGACATCTGCCCCAGATGAGCCCCGGAGTTTCCTAGCAAAGGAAGGCTAGTCATTGTAGTACTGATCTGCTTCTATTGCAAAGAGATGCTCAGAGTGACTTGGAGATTTTAGAATCTCAGCTTAACTTGAATCCTACCAGATTTCCTCATTCCAAATTTCAAGGTCTCATTATTTCTCAGAGTTCTAATTTTCACATAAGAAAGTTGTAAAGGCTGCAAATTCAACTGCTGTTGTAATTCAGCCACTTGAACAGTTAAATTTGATTCAATATTGGTTGCAAGAAATAAAATATTATATTAGGGTTGCCATGGAAGCTCTCTGATTCTCAGATTATGATCCTAAGCTTGTTTTTTTTTTTTAAACAGTATACTTAGGAAAGTCAGTTCCACACCACAGTTCTTGTCATTACTACTGCCATAACGATAAGTGCAGCAGCCTCTTGGGCTCCCAGGGCATTTGCTATAATTAACACTTCATCACAAGTGATAATTTAATTAACTGGAATGCCACTCCTTGTCATGGATGACTAGCATCTGATTTTCCACTGACAAGGAACTCAGCACTGCCCTTTGATGCAAACGCCTGACCAAACTCATTCTCAAATCCTATCTCTGAGTGTCTGTCTCCCCAGTCCTTCCAATATCAATTTGATGTCAGGGTCCAATCAGGAGACAGACCCCACACCAGTAATTTGAACAGGAAACATTTAATATAAAGAATTATAGCTTATAAAAGAGTTAACTACTAAACTAGAAGAAAAATTACTATTTCTAGGGCTGAGAGAGAGTAGTTTAGGAAGAAACTAAGAACTTAGAAGAGCTCTCCCAACTACTCAATTCAAGGCTGATTCAGACCTACTTAGAGAGGCATGGCTGCTATAGGATCACACAGCCTGCCAGTGCTAAGGAAACTTGTTGGAGAGTGTGGGTCAGAGCTAGTCCATAAACATGGTCCGTTGGATGGTGGAGAAACTTGCTGGAGGGCATTAGCAGGCTGGAGCTGGTCTGTAAGGGTTACTTAGGTGACTAGTACCAAGCCTCTAGCATTACCCCTCTACTGTCTATGTGCCTAAAAATAGCAGGCTAAATTGTGAAAGGAAATCTCTTTACTTTTACAATGTCCTTTCAGTGCCCTCTATTGATGAAGACTATACTGACACTGAGCCAGCTGGCAAAGGAGAAATGTTTGTTAAGGTTGAGCTCCCATATCACAGAGCAGTGTAAAAAGCATGAATTTAGTGCTGAGAAGCAATAAATTGATAACTGGCAAAGGACTGAATAAATTTTGTGCGTTTAATGGACAACAAGAAGGTCAATATAGCTGGAAGTGAGCAAGTAGGACAGAGACGATGGTGGGAAATGAGGTCTGAGAAGCAGAGAGGTAGATAAGGTCAGATGTTTTAGGCTTTATAGATCATGGTAAAGACTTTGGATTTTAGTTCAAGTGATAAGAAAACATTGGACAGTTGAGAGCAGTGATGTGATATAATATGATTTATTTAAAAATTAGGTCAGTCTGTGGATACTTGACTTTAGAAGCAAGAGTGGAAATAAAGGAGGTTCAGTCTACCAAGCGCCAGCTAATCCACACTCCATCCTCTCTAGGTTACACCCTCTCTTGTGTTCTAACCAGGGTTAACAAATGTCTTCGTTGGACTGGGACAACTAGTTTTAGACAACCTACTATAGGGCCACTCTAGTTATGACACAACTCAAATTCTCTCCTTTCCTGAAAACAAGCCTGACATTTCAAGATTGTTAGAATTTCTAGAAGCGACTGCCACTCATTGCTATGTTTAGGAATGCCTGAAGTCCAGGTAATTCCTCAAGACCTTCTCCCTAACACCTAAGAGTTCTCTTCCTTGCTCTTCATGAAAATACTATCATGCCATTAGTCTAATTCCTGATGTAGAGTGCTGGCATTCCTCTAACTTAAGATGCTCTAGAGAGGAGTCAAGGAGAGTCCCATTGACAGTAGATCAACTTTGAGGATCACCATACCCTGAAAGGAGTTTCCAGAAGAAATCTTTCCAGTTTCCTGAAAGGATGTTTAAGATGACAGGCATATGCAGAAGGTAAAGCCATCTTTCATTTCTTGCTGGATCTTAGAATGGAGGCCAGGTCACCTGCTTTATCTGACTCCATTGCTCCCCTAGCCAAATAAAAATTCCTAGGTAGGTGAAATAGAAGTTTGCCTCATGATGCCTCTGGCCCTTTTACCTAAACCATTACCCTCTTGCACATTTTGTCATGCTTTCCCTTCTTGTCTGTGCTCTCTCCTCAGTGCTGATAACCATTGCTCCCATTTTCCATCAAAACCTGCTCTCAAATCTTTTATTTATACCCTCAGACCTTTGGTTTCCTCTGTGATATAGTGGAGTGAAAGAAGCTTAAAAAGTTTCCTCTCTAAGGGAAATTGCGTTTTAATAGAAATCAGTCTGATACCAGTGGTTCACGATGTTTGGTCTAATTAAGAACAACTTGCAGAGCTTGCTAAAATGCACATTGATGGGCTCCGACCTCCAAGTACCTGAGAGCAGAAGGTTTTATTGAGTATCAGGAATCATGCCACACAGATCATTACATGCAAATATCTTAAGTATATTTCCTGATTCCAAAAACGGGTCACATGGAATCTCAATGGGGCCTCAGTGAAACACCTGGGCTAAATGATCAACCTATTTGAAGGGGGGTTTTGATGTTATTTAAATAACTGTAAAGAGTGCCAAGTTCTGCCCTGTATCTCCTTCCGGTGGGATTCCTTGGGAAATTATATATATGGGCTTGTAGCCAATTAGAAAATGAGTGTTACACTATTATTAGCTGGAATAATGTCTAATCACTTACAACATAGCACGCTGTGAAGGCTGGATTGGAGCCCTTCATTTTGGCTCATGGTCCATTCAGGGTCTTTCGCACCCCCCTCCCCACTTTCAACAGCCTAATTCTTGGGCTAATATATCCGTATATGCTGTGAAGAGCAAGAGATTGAGAGACTGCTGAGCCCACTTATCCAGCAAGCCATATGGAAATAAAGGGAGAGAAAGATTAGAAAGAGATAGAGATTTATAGAAAGAATGCTTAGATCTGCTTATTATATAGAGGCTGGAAAATTAAAGTACAAGTCAGAGTGTCTTGTATGTATACTGACCTTTTTTTTTTTTTTTTTTTTTTTTTTTTTTACCATGCAGTAATCCTGCCCATTAGCAACTGTGGCCCAATTAGTGTCTAGTACTCTGACCAATCAGATCAATAACCACATCATCCTTGAGGGGAGAAAGGAAGAAATGCGCAGAAACAGACTTGATGTAGGAAGAGTTTGCAGGTCAGGTCAGACCTAAACAGTTGACACCAAATTATAAAGCAGAAGTGAGGCCCAGTGCATGAGGGATGCCTCAGTTTGATGACACGCTCCTATGGCTGTGTTTAATGCCTGCCATGGACTGTCCCTCCATTCCTTTTACTCCTGTTCAGGAAAGCATACAAAATACAAGGAAGGGTAATTTCATCATAGGGTAAATCCAGTATCTGTTCTAGTTGGTTAAAGGTATGATTTGCAAACTTTGGCACTTTAATTATTAGTGGATCCTCTGATGGGTTGTGACCTTGTGCACAGGTTCTGGGAGAGTGTATTCCCAGCCTGCTCCTGTAGCTACTCTCTCCAGCCCTTCTACTCCTCTGTTCTTCCCCTACCAACCTTGGACTCCAGAGCTAAGGGTTTGAATGGTGGGGCAGGGAGGAGAGAGGCTCTGGAGAAGCAGGGAGGTTGGCTCATGTTCTGTAATTCCTAAAATGGACTCGATCATCCACTGGGTGTGTGTGTGTGGGGGGGCAGTTTGTTGTTATAATTGTATTCAACTAAGATACGTGGATTTCTGGGACAAATTATTTTTACACAGGGCGTTATTCTGGAAGCTTTGTCAGAGCCAGTTTAATAATAAAACAAAACATTTTTAGTCTTTAAATTACTTTAATATACATAATCTTATCTCTTCCCTCTCTCCTTCTTTTCTCCCTCCCCCCTCTTCTTTCCTGCATTTATTCAAAACCAATTTTGTGCATTTCCAAATACTTGGTGGGGGGTGGAGCTGCTCTTCTATCTTGTGGATTATCCATTCAATTCCTCTGTTCTATTTCCTTGTCAACCTTTGGCCATTTTTATGTTAACCTTTTCATTGGAAGGAAGACTAGATAAATTGCTGAAATAAGGTTAGAGATTATCACTGGATTCGGATTTCGCATGTTTTTCCCAGCCTCCTTCCCCTTTGGAGGCTCTGAGGGGGTGATTTGGCCATTCGGTGTATTTTTGTAACCTCTGAGAAACAGGAGAAGAGGAGGGATGTGGAAGAGGGAAGATACAATTAAACCAGTGTAGACATTGTTAAGAAATTTATTTGCAATTCTTGTTTTTTGGTGTTTTTTGTTTGTTTTTTAAATAACATCATTCCTTAGATAAAAATGCAATCTTACAGGAATATACATAGCGTCTCACACAGAGATGACCCTGAAGCTCTTCTCGAAAGGTTACCCCTTCTAGATTCCCTGGCCTTTCTCGAGGGTGAGAAGGCGCAGCAGGCGAGGCCTTGACAATGGAGTTATTTGATGATTACAAACTGTACAACAGTATTTACAACAGTAAGACTGCGACATCGTGAAGCCTGGAGAGGAAAGTGTGGGGTGTACAAGGGTGTGGGGGTGGTGACAGGCAGGGGATGACAATGGAGGCACTGTCCATCTTTCTGCATTGCTCTGAGAGCAAGCATGACACAGTTTGGTTTAGAGGCATGAAATTGGGCCTGGGCAGGAGGACATGAGGAGAGGAAGGAGGAAGGGGTTGTTTCTGGAGCCTCTTATATGGACGGGAGTTTCGCTTGGCAGCTCTAGGGCTTTAAAATAAAACAAGCAGATGACGAGAGTAACAGACCTTCCAGTGCTTTAGCAGCTTGGGACCTGCCACCCTATTTCTTAAGGGACTTGTGTGTTTCTCTGCAGGTGGCTCTCCACTCCTACCGTCACAGTTTTGCCTAAGTTTGTTTACGCCTTTGATATCCACATCCTGGTTTGTCCCAGACCCTATTCCCACGAGGCTCTGGAGGAACAGCACACGTTCTGGGCAGGAGAGGAAGCTGCTACAGGGTTGTGCCTAATCTAGTTGAGAAACCAAGAGATGGGTGAGTCTGGGAGGATAGGATGCAGCTTGATGCGTGGGTGGTGTGATGTGTGCAAGCAGAAAAGTGCTCATAGCATTCAGGTCACTGGAGTTGCCTCACGGAGGAGCCCTTTGCACAGGGTTCTTTGTTTATAGCCGTCCACCTTGCTTCCCAAGGTTTTTTTTTTTTTCTTTTTTCTTTTAAGCTTTGCTGTAGTTTCCCCATGTTGGGAAATCTCAGGGGAGGGGGTTTGGCACAGGACACAGTGACCTGTCCTCTTTTGCTCCTCCTGTGACCCTATAGAAGGGAGCCTTCTCTTTCCTCTCTGGGTTGCGGGCTCAGGAGAGACTTCATGCAGAGTGTCTGAGGCCCGCAGGCATGCAGTATGGCGAGCGTCAGCAGTGACCCACTGCCCGCTGGTGCCCGCTCATTCCCGTCCCTCTGCTTATACACTCGAGGAGCATCAGAACAGTTCTCTAGGCTCAAACAGTGAATAGGCAAAATCCCGTCCATTTCTGTGTTTCTTCACATAGAAATTACCCTCCCTTAAGACTTACAACCTCTTCACCAAGAAACTTCTTTAATAATGACACAGGTGAAACACTTTCTTATGTATGAGGTACACCAATGATTTTTAGATGGCAAATTTATAGTAAATGTTGGATTTAGGGTAGATTAAATGTCATGTTGCCCTTTCTAGGAACCTTATCAAGTCAGATTAGATTCTGGAAAGTCGGATGCATGGGATGCCCTCCAAAAGACAGTACAGCTGTGAAGAGGCCAGTATGCAATCTGAAGGGAGAATATTTGACTCTGGTGATGTAACATTTCAAGCTTTTGTTTAATTATCTAGTCTTTATCTTGTCTTCCTTAATTTAGTGGAGACTGAGGGGAGTTTTGTGAAAGTCCCAACTCTGACTCTACTCTCAGTGTTGTTCAACTCAGCTCAATATATTTTGCTGGCAATCTCTAATTCCCTTTCAGAGACTGATCAAAGGGCTTTTCCAGTATATCGGAGAGCTGAAGAATCTACCACTGCATCTTTTCTGGAGCAAGCCTCTTAAAATCATGTGAGGGAAAAGTCTGATTGTAGACGTAGTTGTATCTCTCAATGTAGATAAATAATATTTAGTTCACAGTAATAATAGGGCCCGATGGCACTATTTCTACTCAAGGAAGTTACTCTGGTCCTCTCTCCACATCTCTCTATACAGTGCTCAGCCCTTTGGGAGGACAATATCATTTGTGCAGAGCTCAACCCCAGCACCTGCACCTGTCTGTTAAGGAAGTGTGTGTGTGTGTGTGTGTGTGTGTGTGTATGAGGATGAAAGTGTGTATGAGTGTGTGTGTGTATGTGTGGTGTTCAAGTGTGTTCCAACCATGTGGAAGTCTGGCAGAAACCACTTGCTACATTGGTATCTGGTTTCACAAAGCAATGTTTCATTGCTTTGAAATAAAAAAAAGTTAAAACCAGAACTAGCTTCATAAACTATTTAAGAATCTGCATATTGGACTACTTGCAACTCCCTGTTCTGACTAGACTGAGGGGAGGAAAGGAAAGTGGGGGTTGGGCAGAAGGCTGGAATAGAGAGAATGGCTTGGGGAAAGGAAAAAACTATGCCATCCCTGATAGTTGTAGGACACTTCGTTTCCTTGTCTCTTTTCCTTATGTCTCTTCAGAGGGAGCTGATGGCGAAACCGGATGTGGTGACCAAGAGCTTCTCTATGAACTGACCTGGGCTCTTATCAGCGAGTGTTTTACTAAATTGGGGCTTAAATGGGTCTCTTGAAAACAAATTGCCCTTTTGTGGCCTCTTTGCTAAAGGGTTTCTAACTCTTAGACAATGATATTTCATTTTCCCCCCAGGTCCCTCAGGATGGAGATGCCATTATCCTCTTCAGCAAAATTTATAATTATGGTTTGATGAGGCTAAAAGCCTGACTACCAGACTTACTCTGTATGCCTAAATTAGGTTCTTGTTACACATCTTAACCTTTAGGAATGATGGGTAGGTATCAACTGGCCTCTATGAAACCCTTTTGATGATTTCCAAACTCCTCATTTTCAGGGTGTTCTTATGTCTCAGGCATTGAATGGGATCCTTCTCCTGTGGTTGTCTTACTATCTATAGCTGAATGATCAGGAGATAATCTGGAAGGAAAATATTTGTGAGAAACTGATAGCTTCACTCCAGACAAGCCCCGGAAGAAGCAGGGTCACAGGATAAAGACAGAGTAAGGAAGTCTTGTTCCTTTGTCCTTGGACCTCCCAGTCAGAGGGCAGCCTGTTAGACTCAGAAGGTGATGGGAGGGATTATGACTAATAACCTTTGAAGCAGAGCAGAGCAAAATTCATGGTTCAAGCCAAAATCTAGGAAAACTTTCTTCTCTTTTTGCCTCAAGACCAAAAGAAACTTCTAGAAACAGGCAGAAAGAAGACAACTGAAAATCTCCCTGCTTAATATAGCCAGACACATGACTATTAAAAGGCCAAAGTGTAGAAATACAATAGGTCATTCAGATGAAAAATAAAAATCATGCCCCCAGAGCTTACACTGCACTTCTTTAGGTCCTTCTGGTCCTCAGCCATTGGCTGCTTTCTCTTTGCCACTCACAAGTTCTCAGAAGACTTGATGGTTATGTTTTACAAGGTCACAGGCAAAGTTCTGCTCTAGGTGAGGGGCAGACATCACTTAATACACAGCTGGTGAGGTTTGTGATTTTATGATTCATTTTATCCGTCTGTCATGATGACAGGTATCTTTTTTTTAAAGATTTTATTTATTTATTAGAGAGAGAGCTAAGAAAGAGAGAAATAAATAAAAGTTATTTTTAAAAATTTTTTCTCTAAGAAAGAGAGAGAAAGAGACAGAATGAGAAGGGGAGGAGGGGCAGAGGGAGAGAGAGGAGCAGATTCTCTGCTCAGCAGGGAGCAGATGCAGGACTTGATCCTAGGACCCTGGGATCATGACCTGAGCCAAAGGCAGATGCTTAGCTGACTGACCCACCTAGGCACCCATGATGACAGGTATCCTCTGTCAGTACCATACCAGTTGATCATGAGGTCAGGCCATAGAGACCCATCACCCTCCACAGGGAACTCCCATCTAAACCTCCTTTCCTTGCCAGCAGCACAGGGCCAGGTTCCCTTGGCACTGCTGATGTTGCTCTTGTAGGGTGCAAGACTAGCTGGCCTTCTAACATAGCTGACTAGAAAGAAGGGACTCTGTAGGTGTGAGTGGTGAAGGGCAAGGGGGCACACTTAGGCAGGGCCTTAGGGGTAGCTGGCATAAGCCCAGCCTGTAGCCCATGCCACTGGCCAATGAGATTTGGTGATGCAGAAGACAAGTCCAAAAGGAAAAAAGAAAGTAGCATGAAAGTTTGAGTGAATGTGTGAGTGGTGTGTGTGTGTGTATGTGTGTGTGTGTGTGTGTGTGTGTGTGTATGTGTTTGTGTCTGTGGTCAGTTAAGATGCCAAATTTCTATCTAGGGACCACATGTATAGCAAGAATCAGTTATCAATCCAAAAGGGCTTCGCTCTCCATCACAACTAAAATCTTAGCAGAACGGTGATAGGTATCTTGGGAAACTGGACAAAGATGACACCTAACTGCAATTTCTAGAAGGCCTGCATGGCACCGAAAAGGAACCAAAGAAGTTTGGAGGGTTTAGTCTTGGAGAAACAGGGAGAAACCCTTCTGCTTCTACACTGTTAGTGTACCTGGGAACATTCAGCGTATTTCTCCACTCTTTCATGAATCAGTCCTTAAAAGTGAAACTCATCTTCACTTTTCCCAAGTAGGTCGCTCCTGTAAAGGGCTGGGAACATACTGGCACTGGAAGACATTCCCTGGGTAAATCCTAGATGAATGTTTGGGTCCTGTTTTCCCTGAATCACTCCCTTTTCAACCATCATTGTTGAAATCTATTTGAAGGAAACAGCATGGATAGGATGACGTTCTAGGTAGACGCAAATAGGCGTAAGAGATGCTCCCACAGTGTCTCTGGTTCCACTATCACTGCAAACTCCTGACGTGTCCTCCCCAGTCCTGGTCCCGGTCCCCTCCCTGTCTGCCATGCACATTAGGGGAGACCTGGAGGAAATCCTGCTCCAGAGCAAGGAGAGGATGAAGTGAATGAGACGGAGCTGACTTTGGGATGGACAAAGGTTTTACCTGGTTGCTGTTCTCTGGCCCCTGCTATCTGAGTTTGGGTAGAGCAGTTGCCAGAGGGAGGATTCCCTTCCCTCCAGCCAGCCCGACTCTAGCTCCATCCTCTCAGTCAGCGTGCACTTTCCTGAGGAGACCACCGAGGCAAGTTCACGCAGTGGAAGTGAACAGAAAAGCCAGCCACCTCTCCCATGGGGGATGCTCACGGGGCAGGACTGTCCCGAGACCAAGTCCCAATCAACTGGAGCAGAGTGGATAGAATGAAGACAGGATTAAGACATGTCCTGGTCTCTCAAAGCAAGATGTAGGACGGATATACTTCTTGTATAGTTTTGGAAAAATGGAGGGAAACGGAAGTGAACACAAGATATGCAAAACAGTAATGTCCAAACCTGTGTGTGGATTGCAGAATAATGATTTACACTGGTCATACCTTTGCTCATCGTACAAATTAAAATAATACTTGTTCCCTTTCCCCCAACCACATATAGGAAAGCACTTCAGAGTTCAAGGGTAAAGCTTGTACACTCCAAATACAAAATGATTTACTTACATGCAGCAAAATATACAAGAAGTGAATTCAAAAACAAACTTAATTCAATTCATTATATTCGCTTGGCACAATTGCAATTCAGTTTTAAAAAAATATTTGTAGAATACTGAAACTGACCTGAATTCAAGTATAACAGTTTCTTCAACAGAAACATCATCAATGCAATAAAACATTACACGGAATATATCGAAGCAAAACGCCTTCTTGAGTTTTTCCCTTAAATTTCTGTGTGTGTGTGTGTGTGTGTGTGTGTTTTAAATACAGCTTTAATGCCAACACAACTCACAATTGTATTTTTAAAATGAATATTATTGCATTGTTTTTGCATATCTTGTGGACAGAAAATGTAAAGAGTTACTGATTCCCATTTCAGAAGCAGAAACAGTGGTTTGTTTTTGCTTTCAAATGGCCCCAGATTCAGATCTCCCCACAGTTAGACCAGAAAGGGGGAGCTGCACACTCATTCACACATGGGTGCACATACATGGACAACCCACTATGCACACACAGAACACACACACTCGCGGAGACTCTCTCACCCATGCTTCTCTCCGGCACCCACGGACACACCCCGCAGTAAAAAGAGCCCAACTCAATCACCCATATGTGCAAGACCATATCAAGTGCGTTACCTTTAAATTATAAAACCAAACCCAAAAAATTTTTGTTACTACCTACAGAAATCATAACAAATTATTGCGTATACACAATGGCTGGTAAAACTTGCCCACGATGGCTCTATGGATGGAGCCTACCGTAGAAAAAGAAAACCACAACCGTTTAAATAATACAGTAAAACCAAACCCAATTTACATTTGCAAAAGTGAAAACAGTAAGGTGGGTGGCTACAAAGCTTTGTAAACACTTCTTCCTCCCCTCCCCCTGGGAAAACAAAATTAAAATAAAACAAAAACCAAACAAAACCCGAAAACTGCAACATGCCATCAAGAAAAATGTCAAACCACAAAACAAAAGAGCGCTTGACAGAAGCTCAGCAGCACCTCATCTTGCCAGGGGCTGGTTGCCCCTTCCCTGGCAGGCCCAGCCGCTGCTCTGAAGCGAGGTGGGCCTGTGTGCGTCCTGTGATCCTGGGGCAGAGGGGTGGGGGTGGTGGGGAGCCTTGGCCGTGAGGCTGCCACATGCCCCTCATCGTGCCCTCCCATCGTGCCCTCCGCCCTCCTCCACTCCTGTCTCCTGAGCTCCTCTCTCTGTCCTTCCTCCCCCCTGGGATGGGGCTGGGTCCTCGCTGAAGTCCCACTCCTGCTTCCTTCTACAAATCCACAGGGCCCTGGCTCTATGGAGACAGTGAGGCTCATACGGAATATGTGCAAAATGGATTTTTTTTTTTACAAGCAAAGTTGAAAGACACCCGTTTGACATAGGGTCCTTTTGGTGAGGGTACCGCAGGAAGCTGAGGCTCTCCTTCACGCCCGGAGGTGGGGGCAGGCGTCTCTTCTCTTGCTCTCCCTCCCTGATTCTTCCGCTCCTCCTCACCACTCTACCTCTTGGACACAACACACACTAGGCTTGCTGCCTTCCTTCCCCCGGAAAACGGACTCTGCACACCACCCAACTCTGCGTCTTGTCCCAACGAAATGAATGAAGACGCTGTTCCGGTTAACTCCAGGTCACGAGAACAGTGAGGCACTTCTGAAACGAACCCATTAGGAACATTGAAACAAATAAAAAACCCAGCGTCTCCCCAGCCCTGGCTCCTACAGGCTGCCGGTGTGGGCTCTGCTGTCCTGGAGCTCTTCCTCGCTCTTCTGACATGCCAGGGCGGCCGTGCAGGCGTCGCCCTCGTGACCCCCCGCTTTGTCCTGCCCGGGGTCCCTGCAGTTAACAAAAGGTAGGAGGGTGCCGTTGGGGCTCTGCTGGGCGCCCCCACTGAGGATGTTGTCAGCGGCGTTCTCCATCTCCTCTATGGTCATGTCACAGGCGTCAGCCAGCTCCTGGGTTGTGACCTCGATAAACTTGGGATCTTGAGCAAACTGCCCCAGTCCTTCTGAAATCAAGACCTGAAGTGGGGAGGGAGGACCATGAAGAACCAAAGAGGAACATTATTCCCGGAGGACAGCTCTTCTCTCTGGGGCTGGAGCAAGGGGCTTGTAACTGGGAACCTTGGGAAGTGAGTGTGTGTGTGTGTGTGTGTGTGTGTGTGTGCGCGCGCGCAGGTGTGTAGGTGTGGTGGGAGGCGTGCTCGCAGGAAAGGAGCTGACATGGAGCATTGCCTGAAGGAATCAGGGGTGTGCAGGCTGGAGGACAGCTGCTTCAGCTGGGGCACTCACTAACTGTTGTCAAATACCTGGAAGCTTGGCTCACAGAGGGACCACAGGGTGCTGCTGTGCTGCTGCCCAGGCGGAACCGGGCCTGCCCTGTCTTCTCTCCCCGCCCCCCCCCCCCCCCGGCACCCCTATATGCCCTCCTGTTATTCTTGCCCAGAAACCCTCACTCTCCTTTGGGGAAACCCTTACCTCGCGCCCCTTGCCCACTGCTGGCTGGCAGTCTCTGTGGGGGTGAGGATCCTGGAGTATGATGTGTGCAAAACACCATGTCTGCACCTGCCTCTGCTCCTGCTCCAAAGGGCCAGCAGGTGATCCCAGGGCGGCCCCCTCCTTCCTTGTGGCTGCTTTAGTGACTGGTCTTGGGGAAAGTGACTCAGCTGTGAGCCAGGGTAGGGGATGCATAGTGAAGCCTGGAATGCCTCTCTCCTGGGTCCGTTTGCCCCGTTCCCCCGCTCCATCACTCTTTATTTCCTCTCCTGCTTGTATTTTCCTCAGAGCTCCCACCCTGTGCAGCATGCAAATGTTTATTTGTGATCTCTCTCTCTCCTCACCATGGCATGGGCTCATGAGAGCAGAAACGGTCTCTCGGCTGTATCCCTGCACCTAGAACAGTGCCTGTATGTGGTTGGCACTCAATTGGGAGTGGTGAACTGAATGAGAAATAACCAAGGCAAAGGGAAGAACAAGGTTTTGGAGCTAGGAGAGGCCTTAGAAGTCCTCTGGTTTAACTCTCTACCTTTTGCATGACAGCCCGATGACTGGACGGGCGTTATCTCTGCTTGCATACGTCCAGTGATGGTGGGCTCACTCCTTTATAGGAAAACCCTCCTCCTTTTGGAAAAGCTCTGTTGGAAAGATTTTCCTCTCATAACCTGAAATCTGCCTGCCTGTCTGGTAGGTTGATTTGTCACTCCATTCCTGCACTCAAGACACCCTGCCCAGGACGTGAGGCACCTTACAGGTTTGAGGTGCCTGTTGTGGCCTCTGGAGCGGTCCCCTGTCCAAGTCTGCTTCCCTAACTCCCTCAACCGGATCTCGTATGAAATCACTTCTGGGGACCTTGCCAACCCTTGGCTGTGTCCTCCTTGGGGCACGTCCCCTGACATGTGCTGCCAGGATCACATTAGATGCTCTGGCTGGGGCAGAGGACAGAGGAACTGGAAGCACTCTTGCTCTAGAATAGTGATTCTCAACCCTAGCTGGGCCTTAGAATCATCACAGGGCTTTAAAAAAATACCCATTTAATGTGTCCCTAGGTTATTTTAATAAGCCCGAAGCTTGAGAACCACAGGTCCTGACTTTGCATGTGCACAAACACAGCCCAGGCCATCTGCACCCCAGAGCCAGTCCGTGTGGTCTATACACTGGGGCCCGGGGCCCTGATGGGGGCTCACTGGCCCACGGCAGGGATACGTGCTCCATACTTCCTCCCCTGTGGTGGGCCCAGCCCAAGCAGAAGCCCATAGCATCTTGTGTGATCACACCAGCCTTTCTTCTGGAGGCCCTGGGAATGAGGATCTTCCTGGCCAAGGGACTTGACCTCCACTCTCCTCCGGAAAGGACCAGAGACTCCCTTCTCAGTTCTTCATGCAAAGAACCCTTGCTGCCCCCAGCCCTCCTTTCCTCCTTGTGCTAGCAGCTCAGAGCCACTCACCGCTTCCACGAGGCTGCTGGCACTGCCATGGAACTGCCTGCCCCGGGCCCCAGCCTGGCTGGGCACAGTGAGGGACACTGGCCGGGCTCTCCGGATGGTGCTGTCACCTCCTCCACAGGGTGTGGGCTCCTCAGACCAGGAGCTGCAGTGGATGGACGGGAAGCTGCTGTTGAGTTTCTCGTTGGACTCAGCCCCCTCCAGCCGCAGGGTGGGGATAGGCTGCGGGGGCCAGCCTCGGCTGCCGGGTGTGGCTGGGGGGGTGGCACATGGCCTGGGGAGCGTGCCAGGGGAATGGCTTCTCTGGAGGAGGGGGCTCAGGCCTGCCACTGCCAATGCCTGCGGACACACAAGGAGCATGGGTTACTGGAAGCAGTCAGGCTGGGAGGGACGGGCCTCTCTCTCAGCAGCAGATGGTCATCGCTAGCTCGGCCTGCCTGGAGCCCACTCCCATTATTTTCACCCCTCTGGATCCTACCTCTTCGAGACCTGGTGTTAGCTTCCATCACCTTAAAATAGGTTTTGTGATTACGCCAGTCTGAAGTGATGGCTTCCTCCTCTAAACTCAGAAAGCCGTGATGGAATGGACTCAGGATTGTCCACTTCTTAGCACTGGCCTTGTCGCTAGTCAGCTGTGAATTCTCTGGCTTTTGGTTTTCTCATTAGTAGTCTAGAAAGAATGCTGCCCTCATCATCTGTAAAACCAGGAACACTAATGCCCTCTACCTATCTTGTGGGGTTGATGCGAGGTTCAAGTGAAATCAAGTCTGTGAAGATCTGTGCACTACACTGTGCACCATAAAGATGTAGACAGAACCAGTACTTATTGTTTAAAGTTTTCCATTTATGGGGCACCTGGGTGGCTCAGTCAATTAAACATCTGCCTTTGACCCAGGATCCCAGAATTCTGGGATTGAGACTCACATTCGGCTCCCCATGGGGAGCCTGCTTCTCCCTCTTTCTCTTCCCACTCCCTTACTCCTGTGCTCTGTCTCTCTCTCAAATAAATAAAATCTTAAATTTTTTTTTTACAATGAATCAGGCCATGAATAATGTCTTGTCGATCTTTAGCTCAGCTTGTCTCTGAACTGTTGTTCAAGTCTTACACTGTATTATTATTTACATGTTGTGTCTTCTGCCCCCCACTCTGCTTAAAAATCCTGAGACTGGAGCCTGGCCTCCGTGTTAGCACCACAACGACCTACTCTGAGCTGATGTGTCCACGGGAGAGTGGCACTGTGCAGCGGGAAGGCCCAGCCTGAGGGGCAGAGGGACGGGAACACTGTGGTATGGGTGGGTGGTAGTGGAAAAGCAGGAAGCAGGGAGTGTAAATAAAGAAGAGGTTCTTGCCCGCAACATGATAAGAACACTGGGTGAAATGAACTTCTAGAAATCTTTAAAAATGGTGCACACAGTGTCCCTCCCCCTCCCCCAGCCTGCCAGCTTCCTCTGCACATAGCTCTTGAGGGTCCCCAGCCTGGGGTCCCCGGTCCTCTGGAGACCTGAGGGAAGTGTAAGGTTATGCTCAATTTTCCGGAAAGCCCAGTGGAAATCATATTTATGCTGGCAATGCCACACAGGCCAAGTAAAACGGTGAATAGAGTTGAAATAATATCAACTTAGCTGAGCCACACTGGCTATCTTATGCATTTTATAAGCTTTGATTGGCAAATGAGTGCCTTTGGGTATTAAAAAAACCCCACCTAATGCATAGGCCTGTGGCAGAAGAATATATAATTAGAGAGGAAAACAGTTTGAGAAAGCTGGACCCCAAGTTAAACCTAGATGTAAGGGACTGGCCTTTGATTCCTGGAGGTTTCCATTGGTTCTAAGATACAGAGACTATGCTGGACACTGGTGTCTTGGATTTCACTGGCTCAGCTGGAGGCAGCCGCAGCAAGAGGTATTTCAACTCTCGAGTCTCTCTGGACCTATTTTCCTTGAACATCAGTCCCTACTTCTCACCATGTTGTTGGCAGATTCTCTGATCATTTCTACATTTCAGTGGATGGGTTTGTGTGCGGCTAAATCTCCAGGGATCTTGCAACTCTAGGCGTAAGTACATCCGCCCGAGCACTCTCTGAAGGGTAAGCCAATGTCTGTGCAGGGAACATCTGTGCTATTGTGGGAGGAAAGGTCAGGCAGGATCCTGGAGTCATTGGTCCCTTGGGGCCGTGTGAGGGGCACCTGCTCACAGTGCTTCCTAGGTGTCCCCCACTGCCATCCTCCCCGGGGAAATGACAGACCTTGCTAAGGTTCTCACTTGCATGGATGAGCCCCCCTCATCTGGGGCTCCTAAAGCCAGGGGCTAGGACTATCGTGGTCCAACACAGGGAAGACAGAGTGGAGTCTTCAGATTTGCCCTAATCATGGGAGGTGTGTAGCCTGTGGGGTGATGGCTGAAAGTATGGGCTACCTGGTGATGAACCAGGTGCAAGGGCAGGACTGTCTTCTGAGAGATGTCTCCCCCTTGATTCTTCTGTCGCTTCAGACATTCCAGGTGGAAGGAGGCCCTTCGACCTGCAAAGGCAGCCAAAGAACTGTGATCAGTTCAGGGAAAGGGGACACAGGTCTGCGAGGGTCATACCCTGGGGGTGTATGGAGACGTGCTGGTGGGCCTGGAGTCACCTCCTCTCTACTGTTTGCCCCTCCTAGCATGTGGTATCTGGCCGAGTCCCATCCCTGCAAGCCCTGCCCTCAGAAGCCCATCTCATTGCTCCGGAAATCTGCCCAGCCACTGCATAGGGGTTGTTAGTCACCCAAGTGCCTGACTGGTCACATTTGGAGAGAGAAGTGTATTTACCCAGGGAGGCAGAGCGGAGGAAACCCCTCTTTGGAGATTGCCGGACGTCCTTCTTGTCTTCCTCAGGTGGTGTTAATTGCCGATTTTCATCATCCTGATAGGAGAGCCTGGAACACAGAACTCCTGGGGCTTATTCTGGGAGGCCGAGCAGTGCCACCCCGTAGGGACAGCTGCCGTCCTCTGGAGGCAGTCTGCTTTTTTTCCTTATTGAAGGGAACCCCTGCTTTGTGCTTTCATAAAGGCTGGGGGATGGGGCAGCCGGAACTCGCCACTCCACCAGCCTAGGCCTGGCTTCTGGCATCACAGATGTTTCCAGCTCCTCATCCATACATAGCCTCTCTGCTCATCAGCCTCGCATTTCTGATTTGAGACAGTAGAGGGACTCTTGAGTCAAAGTTGGTAAAAAATTTCAGTTGAATAAGATTCTTTTCAGGAACAGTTTGGGCTCCTCTGTTTACATATGTGGATGCAATTTTCATGACTACTCCCAACTTCAGCCCAAACTTCTCCCTCTCCCTCTAGTTTCTCCCTGGCCAGCCCGCTTCATCATCAAGGCACAGAAGCAGTTGCCTATGGACAAGTATCCAGTCAGCTGGTCAGTGAACAGCAGAGCTGTGAGGGGCCTCAGGGGGCATCTGTCTACATGCTGGTGGCTAGGCCATTTAATGGGGGCTCACAATGAGAAATATACTGTACAGAGTCCCATATACATAGAAACACCTACTCGAACTTAACTTCTTGAACCATACTTACCTTCGTTGCATGCCTTGCCCTCTGGTGGTTTCTATGCTACCTTAGTCTATTCTATTTCGCTAAACAATATCAGTTGCAACCCACTAAGTTGATTTCACAGTCACCGGGGGAGTGACCTGCAGTCCAAGAAGAGGGGTGCGTGTTAACCCTTCATTTTACAGATGAGGCCACGGACTCTGTCCCTGATGTGACTCTACAGGCTTTGAGACTGTGTGGCCTTCCCTGCTCCTAGAATACTGGCTTTGAGCCTTTGTAGATGTGCAGGAAATTTTCTGACTAAAGACCTCCAAACCTTTCCTCTCATTCTCAACATGGTAAGCTCTTCCTATTATATTTTCTTCTTATGAAAATTGTACCCACTCTTGAAGACCAGCTTCTGTTTGATCTTGTGCCAGGTGCCTGTTAAGGTCACCTTGACCTGCTTTGAATGTCTGTCCCTTTCATTGTTATGCCTCTTCTGAGATTTTAACTGGTTTGTAAAATATCTTTGAGTGCCGAGGCCGGTTTATTCATGATCTAGCAGAATGCCGGGATGCACTAAGCACTCAATAAGAGCTAAAATGAGTTGAAGCGTATGCTTTTCCTGATTTCTATGGTGTATGGCCATGTAAAAAATTTGCAGCCTCTAAAAATCAAAAGGCTGAGGGCTGGTCCTTCCTTATTATAAGGCGCTTTTAAGAAAGATTCTAAAACAACACACCTTAAACTTTTTGAACACAACTCACAGTCATAAATACATTTTATGAGACTCAGTACACTCACATACATATTGGCAATTAAACAAATATTTCATTAAATATTACCTTTGTGACATTGGATACACTGTTATCTATTGTCTTATTCTAACCTATGCTATTCTGTACTATGCTATTCTTTCTTTTAAAGTACTGATCACGGCCTGGACTTCTGGCACCTGATGGGGGCTTTTGGGGGGCAGATATAGAGTTGTCTCTTGTATCTCTTGGTTGATTCCAGAATCCTCTGCTCTTCAGCCCCCACAGAGAAGCCGTGCCTAGATCAGGGAAGAGGCTGGCTGGGGCTGTTGATAATAAGGGGCCAGTAGAAAACGAACCAAGACTAAGAACCCAGTGGGGGGCATCAGCTCAAGCAAATAACTCCAGCCCTCAGAAGCCTCTAAAAACTGTGGGAAGAGTCTGAGCAGTTACTGGCTGATGATGTCAGAACCAGAAAGCCGACTAGACATGGTATTGATGTGATGTGCAGCACCGGGGATCTTAAAGCACAGCCCAAGGAGACAGCATGCTGGGATGGTGTTCACGACTCTGAGGCCCAAAACTTCCTTGGAGCCATGAAGCCTTCTAGCATAGCAACTGTGAAGAACCAGGCATTTCAGGACTTAACGAGGCCTGTGAGAGAGGCATCCCCAGACCACACACAGTTTGAGAAAAACAGTCCCCATTATGACCCATCCAGCAAAAAGACAATCCCACATGGTCCATGGTGGATGTCCAGTTTGTTCAGATGGTTCATCATCCTGGCAGCTGAACTCAAAACCCTTCGCCAAGCTCACAGAGCTGCTGGAGGCCTCTTGAAAAACAGGGCTGTCTTCACTCGCTAGACACTTTCAATTGAGCCCCTGACCTGAGAGGAATTTGATTTTATTTTGAGGTTGGAGGAAAAGGAACCAAGTTAACTGGGACACGGTTGCTGGAATGGGCAAGAAAGACAGTCCCACAGAAAACTCAAGCTTTTATAAAACAAAAGAAGGTGTGAAGAGGCCTACTTGTTATGTTCATCTAGGTTTGTGTATACAGGTGGTGTTCACGTACCTTTGCAGTAAAACATTAAAATAAAAAAGTGGTGATTGTCACAACCTAAGTAAATGTCACAACCTGCTAATGGGGTCTAGACCTGTAGTTAAAAAAAAACCCATCTCTTAAAAATTCCATCACTGACAAAAAAAAAATATTAAAAAAATGTGTCAATGCTTGTGTACTGAGCCTTATTATAAAATATACTTATGACAGTTGTTTTTATTAAAAAAAGTTTATGAAACAATGTTTTGAAGTCTTCCTGAAAGCACTGTATCATGAGGAAAGGCCAAGCTAACCAGAGACAGTGTGTGTAACGTGTGTATAGGTGTGTGTATGTGTGAACATGTGCATGCGTATATACATGCATGTACGCATATGTACATGCGCGCACATGTATGTGTACATGTGTAAATGCATGTGTACGTGAGCATGTGCATATACATGTGTGCATGCGTGTACATGCACATATGTGAACATGTCCATGTGTATATACATGTGCACATGCACGAAAGCGCAAACATATGTGTGCACATACATATGCATGCATGTGCATGCACACGCACACACATGTATACATGCATGTGCACACAGTACATGCATGTGTGAACATGTGTAGATACCTGTGCGTACATGCATGTACACATGTATGTGTACATGTAAGCACGTGCGAACATGTACATATATACATGTGTATGCACAACACACGTGTATCTGCATGTGCGCGAGTGCACATGTATGCGTGAACATGTGCACATGCATGTGTGTACATGCATGCGAACATGTGCATGTGCACATGTATGTGTATATACGTGAAAATGCGCACACATGTGTACATGAACATATACATGTGTGTACATATATTGTGAACATGTGCATGCTCATGTGTATGTGTGTATATATACGTGTGTGTATGTGTGTATGTGTATGTGTGTGCATGTGTGTGAACATGCACACACGTGTGTATGTGTTTGTGTGTGGGGCGGGGGGCATACATGCATCTCTCTAATAAGGTGATAGACGTTTGTAGGCTCTCTTCTGATATGCGATCTCCTTTCCCCAGGTGATACCGAGCGCAGGGATTCCAGGGGGCTGCCCTTCACCCCCAGAGCCTGTCCTACATGTGGGCTGGCCTGGGGCTGGGGCAGCAGAGCTCACATCTCTGTGGAGATCAGGCTGGGCTCACTGCAGTACTCGGCGTCTTCGCTCATCTTCACGTCATAGGTCTCGTCCTGAGAGACCTCCTCCTGACACACCATGGCTATCTGGCTCTCCCGGGAGTGGCACCTGAAGTGTCCAAGGGGGAGATATGTAGTCAGAACCTGCTAATCCCCATCATTCCCTCAGCAGGTGAGGTGTCACATGCACACACATACTCACACAGTGAACACACACACACACACACACACATGCCCACATACACACAACTGCTGTGGCCTCTTCTTCCCTGATGAAGCAGCAGAGCCACGGAAGCAGTAAGATCAAGATGAGGATTCCATGTGGAACAAGCATCTCTGGGTTAGAACCCAAGGAGATTTTAGTTCTGACCCTAATTCAGGTGCCCTCTGGCAGAAGTCACTGGCCCACCCCATGCCTCAGTATACCCATCAGTAAAACTGGAGTAACATATGCCCTGCTTGACTCAAAGGCTTATCGTGAATAACAAATGAAGTAGCAGATGAGATGGGGTTTGAAAGGTGGAAAGGACCAGCTTTTAGAACAGGGTCCTGGGCTGCTCTGTCCAGGTCGGGGTGGGCCCTGAGAGGGCTGTCCTCTCCCTCTGCTAGAGATAGCCAGGCCTCTGGGTGCTGATTGGGCAGAGCTGGGAAGTTCCTGGTGTCACATCCTGCCACATCTTTGGGTTTGACATGGGCTCCTTGGAGTGACGGCACAGACAAGAAGCCTCACATCGATGGGTTTGTTCTCCTGGGCAGTCACCCTGAGTCCCTGCTGAGCTCGAGACCCTCCTGCACCAGGGTGTGCCTAGGATTATTCTGCTCACCCTTCAGGCCAGGGTCTCCTGCTCATTTGGACATGTCTTCTTAGCTCTGGTCCAGGTGTGTTCTCCCTTTTCCCATCTGTACCTTCCTCTGTTTTTCTTCCTACTGATCCTGAATGCTGGGGCCTACTTTACTCCCAAACCCGTGAAGATCCCATTTTATCCTCTCAGGGCTGAGTGCTGGATCAAAGCCCTAGATTTGACCGGGGGCCTGTGAGCTGTTACAACTCAAGAAGCTACCCTTCCGGGGCACCTACCAGGTTCTCTGGAGCAGGCCCTAACAGATGGCTGCCCATCCCATGGTAAGGACAGATGAAATGTTGAAGGCTCTTGATTGGTGGGAAGAGAGGGATGTGAGACGAGTTTTAGGGAGGCATAATGGAATGAGCTGGAGACAGAGAATGGTGGCAGGCAGGCAACACCACTTCTTGGAGGCTGCTGTGTACATGACATGCTGGCCCAGCCCCAGCAATAGCAAGGCCATTGCTATGGCCACTGCACTTAGCCTTGAACTACGCCATGAAGGATGAGGCCCCAGAGCTACAACTTTGGTTAAGATTTTCCTCCTCACCAAGCTGAAGCTTATGGTCTTGAGTGTTGTTTTTATCACTGTGCTGGGAAGGGAGAGAGCTGATGCTTAGTGAGCACTTACTATGTTCTAGGCATTTTTTTTATATGTTCTAGGCATTGTGCTAGGTGCTTTGTGTATACCATATTTCACAGATAGAGGTATCTGTGGGGAGAAGTAGAAAATCCCCTGATGTGTCTCTAAAAACCACTGTCCCTTCATTTAATATGGAACATAGTTTAATAGGAAGATACCCTTTGAAGGAGGTGTTAGCTCACAGTGAGTTGCTAATGATGGACACAATGAGCCTTCCTTAAGACGAGGTCTTGATCAGCAGAGCAAGGGAGAGGGTGACACTAGGACAGAGTCCCTGGAGGTCATAGGGGGTTTGCAGAAAAGTGAGGGGACCACCAGGACAGGCATGGGTCAGCCACTTGAACTTTGATATTCCCCTGTGCAAAGCTACCCTTTCAGATCAGCATAAAAAATCCAGGGCTGAGCACACTGCCCTGTGCATAGAAGGCCTTAGTATATATCTCTTGAGTAGAAGGACTCACCCAACACTGCTTTTGGGTGGTTTAAGCAGCCGTTCTTCCAGACAGTGAGGTAGACTGATGGCCAACGTCACTTGGCTGTCATCAGACACCAATGAGTGCCCAGGCCATGTAAGCTTACACGAGGTCACTTGAAAATGTGTTAAGAAGAGAACTGAAAGCCAGGGGGCCGGTATGCTGGCTCCTTAGATGAAAGCAGCTTCAGGACATTTGTCCAGAAAGACACTCACACTTCATGATTATTTTCTAAGCTCGTGAGCAGGGGAGATGTGCCCAAAAACATGGCATGCTGGCGATCTGCCTAGCCTGCTGTGGCTGTGGTGGGGGTGCTGTCCTGCCCTGTAAGAGCAGCTCCACTAAGGCGGAGGGGGCAAGATGCAGAGGCATATCCTCTCCCACCCGGCCTTGGGAACCCAGAACTGTTGATAGAAACAGAGAGGAGTCCCTTTAGGACCAGGCTGTGCTTCCTGAGGCCCAGAGCATGGAAGGAGGCACCTACCGTCCCGGTATACCATAGCAATGTGTCCTGGAGCACCAGGGGTCAGAGGGTGGGGGAAAAAAGCATGTGTCAGGAGGTGGGAGAGATCAGCCAAACTCCCAGGAATGATCCCACACTGGGGCAAGCGGGCGAGTGCTATGGCAAAGGCCTCCTGCCACCAAGATGCCTCTCCCAAGAGGGTTGAGAAGGATGTAAAGAAGAGGTGGTAGCTCCATTCCCATCCTAAGCAGGCCAAAGGCCAGGTGTGTGCAGATTTGGGAAAGTCCGGGGGAACAGAGTCTATTGTGTAGCCAGGATACCAACATCCTGGGGATCAGGGGCTGGGTTCCTCTGCTTGGGGAGCATGAGAGAGCATAGGAGGTCTGTCCAGAGGTACACACCACAGGACACTTGACTGCCACGGGGCCATGCGCCTTCCCCCAAGGGTGGCTACCACAGGTCGTCAAGGGCAAGATCAGGAGGCAGCATTTACCTATCTCTCAATAGGGGAAGGGGCAGCAGCCTCCACCCCAGCTCGAGGGGTGAGTGGTAGGCCTGGGGGCCAGACTCTACCCCCATGCACTCAGGGCCCCTGCACATGGGCCCTGGATGCTCACCCTCCCGCTTACCTCTTGGAGCTGAGCTTCCATGCAGCCTCCTGCACCCGGCTGGCAGGAGACAGGGGGGTTCCGTGGCCCTCGGCGGTGCTGGCAGCGCCAGGGTAGCCAGAGGGTGGGGGGAAGCGGCCCAGGACAGTGTTGTTGGCGTTGTTGATGTTGGCATTTGAGCCGGTGGACGAGTAGCTGCTGGGGGTGAAAGTGGAGTCCACCAGTTTCTCGTGGGATGGTGACTCGGCATCACCTTGGCTGTTGGCCGCCTTATTGATGTGCAGTGGGCGCTGGGTGGTGAAGGTCTGGGGGAAGGCGCTCCTGCCGTCGCTTTGGTAGTAGCTGACGTGGTTGCCGAACAGGCCACCGGCCCTCTGGAGGCAAGACGGGAGGGGTGGGTGGAGGCGAAGGTTGTCTGCCTTCCAGAGAGCGCGGCCCCACTGGGCAGCAAGGGCAGTCGGGGAGCTCTTCACCTGCATGGCCTGGCAGCGGGAGAGGGAGGGACCCATGGGGTCCCCTCTGAGACTGCTGGGGCACCAGGGAGGGACCTCTTGAGGGAACTGGTCTGGCAGGAAGGCTGCTGCCCTGGGACGTTCCAGCAAACCCCCGAGGACTGAGATTAAGTTTCAGGGATCAGTGTGGGGTGGCGAGCTTTGGCTACTGCCAGTCGCTTGGTTTGGCAGCTGTGAGTCTGCCAGGCACTGGGAGGGCTGTGGGCAGAGGGACCAGAGGTTCTAATGAGAATTTTAAAAATGGAGATCCAACCGGCTCGTTGAGCTAGAAACTATGTTGGCCAAATGGTTTTGAGAATAAGGAGGACACATTGACTCCATTAATTATTCTATGGCCTTCTCACCCCCGGCAGGATTCTTAGAGATTTCAAATCGGGGCCCACCATTTTTTTCCCTTTCCTTGTCCTGGGGTGAGTGGGCAAGTAGCTATCGGCATGTTGGTCTGTGGGGTCTCACTGGGGCAGTGTTAGCATGGCGCTGTGTCCCTGAGGCCATTCGGCGACAGACATTTCACAGTGATGAGAAGGAGGATGGTGATGACAGGGCAGCCACGGGCAGGGCAGGCTGTCTTCCCTCCCCGTGACCCCACAGCGCAGGACCCCTGAGCCGGGGCTTGCAGGGCAGCTGTGAGCAGGGCTCTGGTGCTGTCATGGTCAGTGGCTTCTCCCTAGCTTTAGAGGGATTTTAGCCAAACACCTTCAGGGTCCACAGGGACCACAGTGAATGCAGAGAACAGGATGTTAAGAGTTCCACCATTCTGGGAGAGTCGGGTTGTTTTCCACTATTCGAACTGACTCAGCCTCCATATCCAGGAGAGGGGAGGGAAAGAAGGTGGGAGGGGACTTTTGTGACCTGGAGAACACATGCTTATCTCAAGGGGACAATTGCGGCTGGGCTCTACTCCTCTGCTGCCATGTGGGGAACATAAGTCAGATTCTCTGATTTTTAAAAGAGAAGTCAGAGGTCTAGATTTTTATTTGAATGTATCAGATTTCTGAAAGTTGGCAAACAAAATAGGTTAGAAGTGGCCAAAAGGGGCCCCACTGCTTTGCAGCTTCTAATGTAGATGCTTCTTCTAGGAAATATTTCCCTTAAGAAAACAGCTCCTTCCCTCTTTCTCCGAAAGCCAGTGACATTCTATGAGTTGCCATGTCCTGGGAGCCCAGGCTTCAGATGGAGTCAGACTTGGAGAGGGCAGAGGGATAGGAAGTAGCTGAGTGGGAACAATTTGGAATCTGCCAGAGAGCTCAGGGCTTTCTCCCTGGATTTTCTTGGCAGAATGCCAGCCCACCCTCTTCCTTCAAACTGAACCTTATAAAAAGAGAGCACTCCTGTGGCATCCACCTACCCTGAAGATGTCGTCTTCAGAGGCGGCAGACACAGCCTCCTTCATGGCCTTGTCCACCTCCTCCTCAGCCGTCAGATCTCCAGAGATGGCCCGTCGGATCTCAGGCCCGATGTCATGCAGCGTGCGCAGGCCAGCCTGAAACCCAGAGGGACAGCCAGCCGCCTGACCCACCACCTCTGCATAATGCAGGTGGCCCTCCCAAGGGTTTATCTGTGTGAGCTAACCAGGATGTGCTTCGGGGCCTTGCTTGTCTGCCTCAGAGTGGAAGAATCCATTTCTCCACCCAAGAAGGATAAAGGCACATTGGGAAGGGGCTTGGAACAGGCAGGACTGAGGAAGGCAAGGTGTGTGGGAAGCAGTGTGTTCCCCCTTCAAACACACACCTCTGGAAAGGCTTGGAGCTTTCTGAAAGTTTCCTTCTGGAGAGACCTGGCCTCCAGCCCACTGCTGAGACCCCTGGCCAGAGGTTGGAAGAAGGTGACCAGGCCCTTCCTTAGGGTGTGGATCCCTCTCCTCGCCCCTTACCTGCAGGGATAGGGCGTTCCTCTGAGAAGGCTTGCCCACCAGGCCCTGTTCTTTGCGCTTCTTGAATTTCCGGAAGTACTCTTGGATTAGGAAAGTAGCATAAAACTTGCCAACCGTGACCTCATCATCTGAGACAGGAGAAGAGAGGACACAGGGGAGGTTATGGGGGAATTCAGTTGGGCTTCATTCACTGTTTTCAGCATTCAAGCTTTCTTAAGGTTTTTAGACTTAATTTTTTAAAAAAGAGGTAGTCCTTTCACGTGGTTCAAAAAGGCAAAAATATATTAAAAGGTGTACAGTGAAAAGTCTCTCTCCCACCCTTCCCCCATCTGCCTAGTTATGATCTTTTAATAGATAACCTTTTTAAAATTAACTTCTTATTTTTCCAGAGAATCTTTCTGCAAATAAACAAACGTATTCTTAGCCTCTTCTTTTTTTTTTTAACAGAAGTAGCCTATTGTCAAAATTCTCACCTTGCTTTAAAAAAAGCAAAAAGGTGTAAAAACCCTTAAAAAAGTAAAAAAAACCAAAAAACCAAAAAAACAAATAAACCTGACATAGCTCACTAATTTTTTTTGATCCCAAAACTTGAGGTGCCCATTATAAATTGACCAGTACCCTAAGCACAAACAGCTCTACTTAAAAATGGGGTTTGGTAGAAGTACCTTTCTTCTCTGAGTTTTGGTTTTTCTTTCAACCAGACAGATTGGGTTTTCTTACCACGTGGTTTGGCTGGGCCCCTGCTGGGCTTACCCCCAAGTCACACAGGACACAATCAGCCTCTGTGTTGGGAATGAACCAGGTGGTGGAGAAGCCAATAAATCTCCAAGGACAACCCTACATGTCCTACAAGTAGCTTTCTTCTCAGGGAAATGAGCCTACAGGACAGCTGGTAGGTTAGATACAAGGGTCTGAGATGGTTCTCCTACTCCTAGTTGTCCCTTAAGAATAGCCAAGTCACAACAATCATGACCTTCTACATGGCAAACGCCTCATTCCCGTGTGGGAAAGAAAAATCTGAGTCCTCTGTCTAGAGTAGCCAGTGAGGAAGAGCTGCAGGGCAGAAAGAGCATGGATTTCTTTTGTCCCTCAGACCTGGGTTTGAATTCCGAATCTGCCGGGTACTCACCCTATAGCCCTAGGTCAGCTACATGGCTTCTAAGAACTTCAGTTTCTTGAGCAAACTTCACAGAAATGTTATAAGGATTAAATAATGTATGCAAAACATCACGTGGTGTTTGGCCTGTCTAGGTAAATGACTTTTCACTGAGCTCTAGTCTCGCTTCCTTTGGGAAGTGGTTCTCAGTGGGGCTGGTGTCACATTTTAAGGAGTAATTTGGGAACGTGTGGGATTTTTTTAGTTGTCATAGTGTGCTGTAGGCATTAGGTGGTTCGAGATGTGTGCCTTATAACACAGGCATGCTTTGCACAACAAATGATAGATTTGCATTCTGCTAGATGTCCATGTGGGGAAATAGCCTGTTTATAATTACTTGAGCTAAGGACCTAGCTTCATTTTACATATGATCAGAAAATGATTTTTTGCCTGGTTTTAATATATCCAGAATTTTCCAGGAATATAACTGCTGCATAAATTGATAGAAAACCATATTTTACTTTGTTTCTGCTTCACCAAGATGGCTTTACATTTTGGAAAGTTGTATCCCTGATAGCAATGCTCCTTGTGGTATCTGAGTCACCTGCTGTACCTGACCCACTTATATCAGTCTGCATGTGTTCTATGTACATGTGTGTGTATTATATTATTTGTGCATGTATGTACGTATATGTATGTATACATGTGTATATATTATGTTATTTAATATACTTAGTTATCCTTTACTTCAAAATGACAAATACAAAAAAAAGTCAACATAGTCAGTATTGTCTTACTCAATATAAGTGGATGCATGAAAGTATTTAATCAGTTAACTGTAACTTCTGGCATAGTGCCATAACCCATGTCTGAGCATGTATATATTGAAAAACATTTGATTTTAATGTATTTTATATTAAAGTGTTATATTAATATTTTGGAAATTATATCTGTTGGAAGGTTATGATTTTCATTCAGGATAGTAGTAGGTACATTATAAACTGTTCGTTATAAAAAGGGGCTCTGGGTTTGAGAGGGTAGAGAAGTATTGCCCTAGGAAAAATGAAAAGAGTTTCAACCAAGAGGTGATCTTGGGGGAACTCTTATTCTGGGTCCTCATTATTTCCAGAGCAACCTTCCTGGTAGTTTATGGGGAAACCTATACTTTGCAGAGTTCCCTTGGAAATTCTGGTCTGTGAAATGCATGATTAGACCAGATTTCCAACCTGATATCTTGTATTTGAGTTTGTGAAGGCATGGCCTTCACCCTCGTCCCTTCCAACCAGTAGGGCCTTAGAGCCCCATGGGATGAGCCTGGGGGAAAGCAGGCCTCCCACAAGCCTCATGGACTCAGAAACCAGGCAAGAGCCAAGAGGGTGGAGATCCAGGGAGCACTTACCACCCGCTGGAGGCACCACTTGGTCCAGCAGTTTCATGCTGGTTCGCTTCCAGATCTTCTTGATTATGGCCCGCAGCTCCTCGTTGGCTTGTTCTAGGTTCCCTGGGGGCAGAAAGATGCAAGGCTGAAAATGATCATCAGTCCCTTGGGGGCCCTCCCGTGCATAGGTAGGTCCCTCTGTGCAGACTGGGAAGCTTCCTCTGGTGGCACCTTTGCCCACAGAAAGTCCTCGTCTATCATCTTCACTTTCTTTCTCTGCAGTCTGCACATTGTCACCTCCATCTTCTTTCTCTTTGTATTGCTCTCCATGCTCCTACTTCCCCTTCCCTCCATTCCCTGTCCAGTGCCATTCCTTTCTCTTCCTCCCTGCCTGCTGCTTGGGCCAGCCAGTGGCAATGCTTCAACCCCACATGCTGCTTCCTCATGAGTGGCACTTGGAGCGGACCAGATAACTTGGCCGGACTGAGCTCAATGACCACCTGCCAGAGTATGAGGGGCTGCTCTGGTGCCCGGCACTTCTCATGGACCTCCATGGGTGATCAAAAGTTTTCCCCCCACACAAAGCATCCATATGCAGGGGGACCTTGAGGTCAAAGCTCGTTGCTGAGTGTCCTGTGGGGAATAGGTGGCAAAATGTCAGTGTAGAAGCAGGAATCAGAACACACTGGGTTCTGTTTTGGAGATTCTCTGGGTCTACTTTCTCGACTGGTGAAACAGGCTTAATTTGGTGCCTATCCCATGTGGCCTCTGGGACACTGGTGGTATAGTAGCTGTAAGAGAGGATGTGATGGGCAGTAGTCTAAGATTCTCTTAAGTTATCTCCCATCACCACTGATATATATACACACACCCTACTTGGTTCCTGGGCTATGATGGATTTTACTCCTGTGATTAGATTATATTATGTGGCTCCTATTGCCTTAAAATAGGGAGATTATCTAGATGGACCTGACCTAATCACATGAACTCTTTAAAAGTAGAGAGTTCTCAGGTGTAAATTTCCAGTTAGAAAATAAGTAAATCATGGGATGCAATGTACAGCATGGTGACTATGGTTAATATTGCTGTACTGCATGTTTGATAGTTGCTAAGAGAGTAAGTCTTAAAAGTTTTCATCATGCACAAAATTGTAACTATATATGGTGGTGGATGTTAATGAGATTTACTGTAGTGATCATTTCTCAATATATACAAATATGTAGTCATTATGTTGTACATCTGAAATTAATATGTTATATGTAAATTATGCTTCAATAAAAAATAAAACTAATAAAAGAAGTAATTCATGAAGGAGATCAAAAGATAAAAGTAGAGACTTGTCCCCAGTTGGGAGCAGGAGGAGTGAGAGGTGACTGCTGTGGCCTGGGAGAAAGCACACACAGATGCTGTGAATTGAATGGAGAGAGGCAGCCTCTGGGGGGCCCTATGGTCCCCAGCTGAGAGGCAGTCCTACAATGGCAAGAAATGAATTTTTCCAAAAATGCGATAGGAGCCTCTGGAAGAGGACACATGCTCGTCAGTACCCTGATTTTGGCTTGGGAAGACTCTTAGCAGAGAACTCAATTAATCCATGGCTGGACCCCCACCTACAGAACTGTGGGCTAATGACTAGGTGTTGTTCAAGCCAAAGAATTTGTGGTAATTACACAGCAATGGGAAACAAATATAGGGATGTTTATTGCTACTACACAGGAGAAGCAGCAAAGTTGAGAGCTCTGGTGTTAGATTGTCTAAGTGGCAATCTGCCCTGTGGCCACACCAGAGAGGCTCCCAACAGGAGTAAGCAGAGGTGGCAATGGACGGACAGTGATGGGCCCCTGAGTCTCCTGTCAGATCCAAACAGTACATGGAGCCAGATGATAGTCCTGGGCATTCCAGTTATAGAGGCAATCCTTCATGGTTAAGTGTCCTTCCTGGTTAAGGTAGTTAGTGGTTTCTGACATATGCAATAAAAGAGTCCTAATTAAAATAATGCTCAAATATCCTTGCTTATTTTCTGTAGTGGGTTAAATAGTGTCCCCACCAAATTCATGTCCACATGGAACCTTAGCATGTGGCCTTAGTTGGAAATAGGGTCTATTGCAGATGTAGTGGGCCCTACATCCAGTACTACTGGTGTCTGTATAATAAGAGGAGAAGATGCAGAGAGACACAGGGAAGAAGTCCATGTAAGAGGGAAGCAGAGACTGGAGTGATAACGGCTGTGGCCAAGGAACACCAAGCACTGCTGGCCCCTACTAGAAGCTAGAAGAGAAGTGTGGAACAGTTTTTTCCTTGAGCCCCTGGGAGAAACAAAGCCCATTGACACTTCTCCCACTCAGTAGGTTGTCTTTTCATTATGTTGATTTCCTTCACTCTGTGAAACTTCAGTTTGATGTAAGTTCATTTGTTTATTTTAGCTTTTTGTCCTTGCCTGAAGAGACTGGTCTAACAATATTGCTAAGACCGATGTTGAAGAACTTACTGCCTATATTTTCTTCCAGGAGTTTTATGGTTTCCACTCTTACATTCAAGTCTTCATTTAAGTTTAGTGTATGGTGTAAGACAGTGGCCCAGTTTTATTCTTTTGCATGTAGCTGTCCAATGTTCCCAACACTACTGATTGAAGAAACTTCCTCATTATATATTCTTGCCTCTTTTGTCATAGGTTAATTGACCATATATGTGTGGGTTTTTTCCTGGGCTTTCTATTCTATTCCATTGATCTATGTGTCTCTGTTCATGCTGGTACCATACTGTTTTTGATTAATACAGCTTTGCAGTATAGTTTGAAATCATGGAGCATGATACCTCTAGCTTTGTTCTTCTTTTTCAAGATTTCTCTGGTTATTTGGATTTTTTTGTGGTTCCATAGACATTTTGGGATACTTTGTCCCAGTTCTGTGAAAAAATGCTATTGATATTTTGATAGAGATTACACTGAATCTGTAGATTGCTTTGGGCATTATGGACATTTTAATAATATTAATTCTCCCAATCCATGAGCACAAAAGATCTTTCCATTTATTCATGTCTTCAATTTCTTTCATCAATTTTTTTAAATAAAGATTTTATTTACTTATTTGAGAGAGGGAGAGAGAACACAAGTGAGAGGAGGAAGGGCAGAGGGAGAGGGAAGAGCAAACTTCCTGCAGACTCCCTACATCAGGGAGCCTGATGCAGATTCTATCCCAGGACCTTGAGATCATGACCTAAGCCAAAGGCAGAATGCTTAACCTACTGAATCACTCAGGTGCCCCACTTTCATCAATGTCTCTTTTTTTTTTTTCATCAATGTCTTAAACAGTATTCAGAGTACAGGTCTTTCACATCCTTGGTTGAATTTATTCATAGATATTTCATTATTTTTGATGCAACTGTAAATGAAATTGTTTTCTTTTCTTCAGTGATAGTTACTAGTGTTCAGAAACACTGATTTCTGTATATTAATTTTGCGTCCTGTGACTTTACTGAATTCATTTTTTAATTCTAACAGATTTTGGTGGAGTCTTTAGGGTTTTCTCTATATTGTATCATGTCATCAGCAAATAGTGACAGTTTTACTTTTTCCTGTCCAATTTCGATGCCTTTTATTTCTTTTTCTTGCCTAATTGTTGTGGTTAGGACTTCCAAAACTATGTTGAATAAGAGTGGTGAGAGTGGATGTACTTGTCTTGTTCCTGATCTTACAGGAAGTAAGTATGAGTATGATGTTAGCTGTGGGCTTGTCATATATGGCCTTTATTATGTTGAGATGCATTCCTTCTATACTCACTTTGTTGAGAGTTTTTTTTTATCATAAATGAATGTTGAATTTTGTCAAATGCTTGTCCTGCGTCTATTGGGATGATCATATGATTTTTATCCTTTGTTTTGTTAATGTGAGGTATCACATTGATTAATTTGCGGATGTGGAACCATCCTTGCATCTCTGGAATAAATCTCACTTGATTGTGGTGTATGATCCTTTTAATGTATTGTTGAACTTTGGTTTGCTAATATTTTGTTAAGATTTTTACATTTATATTATCAGAGATATTGCCCTGTAATTTTCTTTCTTGTGGTATTTTTGTCTGGTTTTGGTATCAAGGTAATGCTGGCCTTGTAAAATAGGTTTGGAAGACTTCCTTCCTCTTCAATCTTTTGGAATAATTTGAGAAGAATAGGTACTAACTCTTCTTTAATTTTTGGTAAAATTGACCTCTGAAGCTGTCTGGTCCTGGACTTTTGCTTTATGGTAGTTTAAAAATTACTGTTTCAATTTTATTACTTGTAATTGGTATATTCAGATTTTCTATTTTTATGTGTGTGTGATTCAGTCTTAGAAGGTTATGTCTTTCTAGGAATTTATCCATTTCTTCTAAGTTTTCCAATTTGTTGGTGTATAATTGTAGTAATCTCTTATTCTTTGTATTTCTGTGGTGTCAGTTGTAACTTTTCCTTCATTTCTGATTTTATTCATTTGGGTCCTCTCTCTTGAGTTTGGCTATTGATTTTATTGATCTTTTCAAAGAACCAGCTCTTACTTTTATTATATTTTCTTTGTCCCCCCCCCATCTTTATTTTATTTATTCCCACTCTGGTCTTTATTATTTCCTTCCCTCTACTAATGTTGGGCTTTGTTCCTCTTTTTCTAGTTCTTTTAGGTATAAAGTCAGATGATTTATTTGGGATTTTTCTTGTTTCTATCATCATGAATTTCCTTCTTAGAGCTGCTTTTGTTGCATCCCATAGGTTTTGGAAAATTGTGTCTCCATTTTCTTTGTCTCAAGGTATTTCTAAAAATTTCCTGTTTGATTTCTTTGTTGACCCACTGGTTGTTTAGTAACACACTGTTTAGTCTCCACGTTTGTGTTTTTTTCCAGTTTTCTTCTTGTATTTAATTTCTAGTTTTTTACCATTGTGGTTAGAAAAGATGCTTGATGTGAAATTAATCTTCTTCAACTTATTTGTTTTGTGACCTAACTATCCTGGAAATAGCACTCGAATAGACTGTGTATTCTGCTGTTTTGGATGAAATGTTCTGTATATATCTATTAAGTCCATCTGGTCTAATGTGTCATTTAAGGCCAATATTTCCCTATTGATTCTCTGCATTATTTATCCATTGGTTAAGGGGAATA